GCTTGTCAGAAAGGATTACCGTCAAACATGGACTAGGTCCAAGTAGTCGAAATAACGTGCTCCAGCCTGGAAAGAAAGCTGGATTTCCTGCTTGCTTTCCTAGGAAAAGAGGATGCGGGACAGCGAAAGCGGTCTTTCGCCTCTCTGCGGCCAGGGCCCCCCTATACATTTTGCGGCTGTTGGCCAGTTGGAGACAAACCTGAAAGAAAACTAGAAAGCGTCTCTGCTTTCTCTGAGACCAAGTCCTTCCTACGTGATCAGAGACACCACACCGGAGGGGCAGAGTGCTACTCTTTCCAGATTTTAGGGAGCACTTTCCTCTTTAGAAGATGCTAGCATTGCTTTCCTCCCCCGCTGCTGCCATCGACTCTGTTTTACCGAGCGGTCTTTGCCATTTTGGGGTAACTGCTTGCAAAACCACGTAGGGTTTCCTAGGCAGTCGGCGGCGAGCCTGTCGCCCGCCTCGGCGTCCGCAGCGGTGTCCGATGCTGCTGGGGGATTTGTTTGCAGAGCGCTTTCAGTTTCCCGGCAGTCTCTCTTAAAGGTAGCACATCCTGCAGCTCTTAGGGCCTGTCCCCTTGGCGCTGTGCCTGATCTGAAGCCTGCTGTGGTTTGCGCCAGGTTTTCTCTAGGCTTGCCCTTGCTGTTGAACGAAACACAGGGGACGGTCCGTGTGTTTGCGCAGAAGCCGCCGGGCGCGGCGTCCCGAAAGCACGAAGCGGGTTTGAGTCGGGACCTTTCCAAGCATCACCTCCATTTGGGGGTTCCTTCAGGGTTCATTCTGCCTCTGGGGGGCTCGGGGGTCACAGGGGCCACCGTCACGCTTTCTCCTGCAGCTCTAACGACCGGTGGGACGCTACAAGACGTTAAAATCGCCCGCGTACCGTGCCAAGGCAAAGCCCGGTGGGAAATGCAGAGACCGAGAGGGAGGCCAGCTTGGCCGCAAACCCTCAATTTGGGCGTGATATCCCCGGGTCTGGAATCGGGCGCTAGCGTGACACCTCGGCCGCAGCGGGAGCGGCGCCGGGGAGAGGCCGGGCTGAGCGGCAGAGGCGCCCTGGACTCTGACTTCTGCCTCTTTCGGAGGGAGGCGCGGGCGCTTAGCGATAGAGTCTGGGAAAAATCAGGCCGCTTATTTTTGGAGCCTAAATCTGGGTTTAGGTTCTTACTATCGGCATCCTGTACGAAATAGGTTGCCCCCGGCTTTTGGCTTCTTTGGCTTCGCGCCGGTGCCTTCCGTTTTGCGCAACTCCTCAAAAATAGGAAGGAAAGGACAGGCTGCTCTGCCAAAAGAAGAGGAATTAAAACCAGCCTCCTGCCCTCTGCCCGACTGGCCAGAAAGGGCAGCTTGTCTCCTTGCCAAGAGCTGGCTGCGGCCACGTAAAGCACGAGTGGGGAGCGCTGCTCCCCGCTGTCGGTCCCAGGCAGCTACCGCGCTTTGCCCGCACGCGGGGAGGGTCGAGTCCGAGGCACGCGGTTCGTGGGTTTGCCCCAGCCTGCCTTTTGGCCGCTGCTGGAGATGAGGGTGATTTTGGGGGTGAGAGCTACTTATAACGTACCCCTCTGCTCTGCCGCAGCGTTTGCTAGGCAGCTCGCAGCCGCCTTCGGTCCAGCTCTGGGTTTCCTTCGACCGCAAGCCGATGCGTGCGGCACAGTTCGTAACCAAGCATCCGATTAAGGTAAGCGGTGCTTTCCGAGAGGACCTTCTCCCTCTCCCTCCTTTGCCGAGGACGCCCTCAGACGTCGACAGGGCTTTTCTGCGCTTCACAGGACGCCTCGGGTGTCAGAGCTGGTAAGGGACCGCGCGTGACCCTGCTCAGGAGGGTTAGCAGAGCGAAGGCTCACATTAGGATGACCTTGTGATTTACACGATGGTACTTTCTTCTGGCAATTCGAGCCTCTGGAGAAATGCCATAGTACCCCCAGCACTGTGCAGGGCTCAGGGCTTGCCTGGAAAGAGACGGTCACCGACTTCCTCCAGCACTGGTGACGGAGGCTGACGGCAAAGCCCTGATACCCAGAGGGGGGCTGATCTCAGCACTCAGAGCTTTGGCTCTGCTTTTGGGGGCCTTACCTCTTCCCATGGCGCGGGGACAGCCAGGGTTTGCAAAGACTTTGCCCGTGAACCAGGCGTCCTGTGGCGTCCCGAGGCTGGCAGGGATGAAGGAGAGCATGAGAAGTATGCTCGGTGTTTGGCAGAGCAGGGGGGCGGAGAGAGATCCGGCTCCGATGGGCCTCGGCGCCCAGCGCTGCTTCTGGGATACTTTGTCGACGGGTTGTGCAGCGCGAAGGGCGGAGGATAGCGATCGCTGGAAGAGAAATGCAAAAGAACAAGCGAAGGGAGGATCCTTGCCAAGGGGGAAAAATATAAATGGGTGGAAGGGCGAATAACTTACGGCTAGCTAACAGGAAACGCTACACCAGCCTGTACGTAAACCCTGCTTCTCTGCCCGCACGTTCAAAGCCCGCTCGCTTGTCATTTACATCCCCAAGGAGTATTATGTTGCCGATGCCTCGGAGGACCAGGTGTTTGTGTGCGTCAGCCACGATGACAACCGCACCAACCTCTACATCTCGGAGGCGGAAGGCCTGAAGTTCTCCCTGTCTTTGGAAAACGTGCTTTACTACAGCCCGGGAGGAGCTGGAAGCGACACCTTGGTCAGGTACCGTGGGACGCGGTCAATAAGAACCTCGGCCCGAGTCCTCGTACTTTTCGGTCGTGTTCGATCAAAGCGTTGCCCCGATCCCCAGGCTCGACGGTCCCCCCGACCCGGAGAGGCTGCGATTCACCGATCCCGCCTTTGCGTTTCTTGGCAGGTATTTTGCCAACGAGCCCTTTGCGGACTTCCATCGCGTCGAAGGCGTGCGGGGCGTCTACATCGCCACCTTGATCAACGGCTCCTTCAGCGAGGAGAACATGCGCTCCGTCATCACCTTTGACAAGGGGGGCACCTGGGAGCTGCTGCAGCCCCCGGCACAGACGCGCTACGGGGAGCGGATAGACTGCGAGGTAACGCGGGGCAGGGAGGGGCAGGGGGGCGAGCGCGGGAGAAGCTCCCCGCAAAAAAGGCTGAAACGGCGATCCCGCCCCGAGGGAGTCCCTCCTGGCCTTTCCAAGCAGAGAGGGACCACAGGAGAGCACGGGATGGAGGGTTAATGCCGCCACGTTTCACTTTTCCAGTTCTCTCAGGGCTGCTCTCTCCACCTGGCCCAGCGCCTGAGCCAGCTGCTTAATTTCCAGCTGCGCAGGATGCCCATTCTCTCCAAGGAGTCGGCGCCGGGATTGATCATCGCCACCGGTACCGCTTTCCTTCCCGCGGGGGCTCGGGGCGCGTTGCCGTCAAGACACGAGGAACTTGGCGGCGTTCACTTGGTTTCTGCAGAAATGCCATTACACTGTACTATTGGCCGTCCCTTCTCTGCTGCAGACCCCTTACAGTAATGACAGCACATATATTTTACTGCAGCACAGTGACGTGAGAAAACTCCCCTGCTTTATTCTGATCCTCTTTCCTGCCGCTATCCTTGCGAAGGATTTCATGACCGTGCAAACATTCCTGTTTGTCTCGCTCTTTTACCGAGGAAAACGTTTCCACGTTTTGTTTGATCCCCTTTCGGGCCGTAGATTTTTTCCCCAGCTGCTTTTCAAACCTGACGTAGTCTTTAGGATCTTTGCTTTGGAAGGGATTAGTTTACAGCGTGAAGATTCCGCTCCTCAGTCGTTATCATTTTGCTCACCGATAAAAATAGTTTAGAAGCATCTGGCTTCATTTTCAGCAACCGCTTTGCATTCCTCAGGAACAACGATTTCTCCCTTTCTCCTAGGCTCCGTTGGCAAGAACATGGCAAGGAAAACCAACGTCTATGTCTCGAGCAGCGCCGGAGCAAGGTGGAGAGAGGTAAGACTGCTCTTTTGCTTGCCAGCTCGGCCAAGGCGGCGGCGCAACGGTCGGGACTTTGGCAGCGACATAGAGAGGTGATGGGCAGCCTTCGGGCATTACCGGTGACCTCCGCGTAGGCATCCGAGAGCTGTAGCTGGAAGGTGACGAATGTCCCTCGAGACCAAGGCACAAGGGTCCTTAAGCGAAGGACCGGCCGTGGGTCACCAGGGAGATGAGCCTCGTGGTTAAGGCGGTGGGTTCAGGTGCGGTAGAGTTCCCTCCTCTAATTCTTTCCTTCAGCCGGCAGGACGTGCCCCTGGAACGGGGCATCTGTCCCCTTTCAGACATGACGGACAGCCAGGACTTTGTACGTGAGCGTCCGGAAAGGCTCCGGCGTCTTCCAGAAAAATAGAATGTTGCCCTCGGTTTATGGGGAGTTTGATGCTGTTTCCTAAGCGGGTGTTCTGGTCTGCGGCAGTACTTGTGGTTTGCCCGTGCATTCTGCTGCGAGTGTAATATAGTATTTCAACATCTGCAAGCGATTTAATCCCGCGAATTAAACGGCCTCGTTTTCCTCCCGTAAGTGCTGCGCGGTCTGGGTGAACATCTGAGCAGCTGCAGTGGCGGCGGGGACACGCCACAGCTTTGGCT